GCATTCTATTCCTTTGGAATTTGCCTTATGACTTAGGAGGTATGAACAAGATTATTTAAATGAGTTTCTGATTTTAAAAAATAACAAATCAGTCTAAAAAGCTTTATGGTGATGCCTTAAGGGCTTTGACTTGGTCTATAGAGGCTTCTGCCAGGCAGGGATTCATTCTTTCTTCATCTTACCTTCCTGTTTCATTTCTTACCTTCAGTAGAGGCCACACTGTAGACAGTGACACCTATCAGGTTCAGTGACTCACTACCTAAGGAATGCTAGCAAAAACACGAACTTTCTTGATAATATGTATTTAGAGGGAAGACACACACAAAGTAGAATGACACATGAGCTGCTGAAATCCCCTGCAATTGTATCCATCCCTAGCAAAACTGGTGGGGTAGGACCAAACACTGAATGACACACTCCAGAAATAAAACCTGTTGAGACAGCTTTCTGTGACCTCCCAGTGCCTCAGATAGAGGAAGTTGAACACAGTACTATCAAATGACAATGTTTGCATGGACCCACATACACTAGAGTCACTTCTCAAACTTTAATATGAGCACAAGTCAGCTGGGCATCTCTGTAGATTGCAGATTCTGGCTTGTTAAGGTTGGGTTAACACTTCTCTGTGTTGCTGGCCCATGTACCACATCTGGTAGAGGGATACTCCAATAAATCATTTCTTTATCCAGTTGTCTCTGGGAGTTACTCATTTCCTTTAGATACTTGCTTAAATATCTCATCATCACAGCTTTCCATAATCACCAAATAGCTCCCTATCACTTCCATCTTTACTTCATATTTCTTTATGCTGTGTATCACCTTGTGATGTATAAGGAATACTTCTTTGGTTCACTGCTTTGTCATTTCCCTGGAATTCGGAAGCAAAGGAAAAGTCCAGAAAAAGAAAAGAATATCGAAGGACTGAATCTATATGTGAAACCATGGCCAGGCTGTCTCAATTGCATGCAACAAACTAGACTTATCAGTCTTTGTTTTTTCGGAGGGGTGGGGGGAGGGTTCAAGACAGGGTTTCTTCATGTATCCCTGGATGTCCTGGAACCCTGTAGACCAGGCTGGCCTTGAACTCAGGGATCTACCTGGCTCTGCCTCCCTAGAGTGCTGGGATTAAAGGCATGCACCACCATCACACTGCTGAGTCTTTGGGTTTTTAATTTCAGGAATTTAAGTACCCCAATTGAAGAAAAAAGGTGGAAGAAATCAGGCCCTTCCACTGTCTACATAAGCAGACACCACTACTTTGAACCTCACACTGAATGAGACTGATGGTGGACAGGGTGATGTAGATAAAATGGACCACACTCATTTTAAGCAGAACTATGTATAAACACAATTTCACTTTCTAGCACAAAACTCACCAAAAAAGACATTTATTGTTATACTATAGTAACTATAATTACTTGAAAATCTGTGCTAAGAATTGTAGAAACTTAACAGTTGGTATTTTGCAACATACATTCCTTCAGCAATTTTTTTTCCTATCTTTGAAACAAAGGTGAAAAGTCCAAGTAAATAAAAATGAAGATTCCCTCTGATCACCAATAACTTTGAGTGGAAACACAAATATCAAGGTTCATAAATCTCTCATACACTAGTTTAGCAAGCCTTGAAGAAATATCTATTGTAGCACCATGGAGACTTATCAGTGAGCAGAACACAGGTAATGTTTGCTTGCATGGAACCAATAATCTTGAAGCTCAGCAAGATATTCTTTTCTCCTCTTCTCTAAAATACAATTCTCACCCATTTTTCAAGGTGTAGTTCCATTCTGACATTTCTAAAACATGCTATTTCCATGTTGTTACGGACCCTGCAGTCTTTTCCTTTCTGTGGCATTTCATAATTCTTAGAGATAGGACTATTACCATAAATGTTGCTCATATTCATTGGGAACTGATTTCCACCATATATAATAAAGTTATTTCTATTCAGAAGGTGAAAAAATTATTTGGAAATGAACAGCATGCAATCTCCTTGAGGTAGAAGACAAAATTTCTGTGTATCTAGGAATGCTGAATAAAGCATTCAGTGGCTTCCCCATTAAGCAACTTGAAAGTGACTGAAAATGTATTTACTAGAAGCCTAGGTTTTTATTATTCTCTCTCTCTCTCTCTCTCTCTCTCTCTCTCTCTCTCTCTCTCTCTCTCTGTGTGTGTGTGATACATGTGTGTATGCATGGATGTGAGTGCAGGTATACACATGCCATTGAGTGTAGTAGAGTTCAGAGGATAACCTCAGATGTCAGACCCAAGTTCTACTTTGAGACAAGATTTCTTGTTTGCAAGTGTACATACCAGGCTTGCCTGTGAGCCATCTTCTTGTAGGTGTGCTAGAATTACAGATGTACACTACCAGGCCTGGGTTTACATAGCTTCTAGGGATTTACGTTCAAGTCCTCAAGCCTGTGAGGCAAGCTCTTTATCTAATGATCTATTTCTTCAGCCTAGAAGTCTAGTTCTTGACCACTCCAAAAGAAATGTAATAAACCAGGCTGTGGTGGCGAATGCCTTTAATCCTAGCAAGCAGATCTCTGTGAGTTCAAGGCCAGCCTGGTCTACAAAGAGAGTTCCAGGACAGCCAGGGCTACACAAAGAAACCCTGTTTTGAAAAGCCAAAACCAAGGAAAAGAAAAAGAAATGTAATAAAATTTCAGCATTATCAGAGAGATTACAATACTGATAAATGAAAGAGGCCTGATAACAATTCTCTAATGAATCAGGTGGTGGTGGCACATGCCTTTAATCCCAGCACTCAGGAGGCAGAGGTAGATGGATCTCTGAGTTTGAGGCCAGCCTGGTCTATAGAGCAAGTTTCAGAACAGGCTCTAAAGCTACACAGAGAAACCCTCTCTCGATAAACCAAAACAAAAACCAAAGAATCAGAACAAAAAAAAAAAAAAAAAGAAAAGAAGAAAGGAAAATGAATTCTCTAATTAAATCTCATAGCATTCATAGCATACTCTTCAATTCACCTGTTAATTTAAAAGTAAATTGTCAGTTATTTCCCTAAGCTGTTTTGCAATTTAAATGTCCTTAAACAACCAAAACAAAAATCCAATCAATCTTTCATTCCAAACAATAGTTCACTTAAGGCTTGGCTACCCAAAAAGTTTGCAAAGGGAGAATAAAACTGATTGCTTCCTGTGGCTACCACCTCATTTCCAACTGTGGCACATTAGGCCCTATTAAAACAGGGACCTCATCCTGTGAATCCATTCTGTATGTTGGCATTGTGAAAGATGCGTGTTGTTATTTGCAGGTTTCGTTATGACCATCAATCGATGTGATTTGTGAGACATGCTTTTCATGGGCATCTTGATGAAGTGGAGTTTATTATCCCTCTAGAGTACAGCATTTAATGGAAAGCTGGGGCAAACTCCAGTGGACGCATGGAGATTCATACTGCTGGAACTACAACGGGATTGCTTCAGTGTAACCTTTAGAGTGAGCAATCATCCAGCTCAAGGTGGTTTAAACACTTGCTCAATGAGGAAGCTTTCTGGGAGTATAATCAGGGTTCCAATCATTTTATTAGTCTGTAGAATCATCTGAGGTGACATTTTCAGAAACAGAAAAATAGCCAGGGACTTTAATCCCTGTATTGAGGAATGGTGAAGGGCTTAGGGTTCAAGAATGAAAGGAAGCCCCTTTGAAAACATGGAAGAGAGTATGAAGTAGTTCTCACTGTGAATGATTTTGAAGAATTTGCTAAGTTATTCTAACTCATTTTTTTCATTTTCTGTTTTATAATAGTTACTTTCAGAAAGAATCCTATTAGGGGGAAAAATGCACTAACATTTAAGAAGTACAAAGACTTCCTAGCAGGATTTAGGAAGCATGTGCTCATCATGCAGCTAATCTCTGATCACTGTGCATTCTCTCTTTACCAGTTCTCTGGTCACAGGACACAGGCTGACAGGACAATGCATTCATTAAAATGTTTTGTTTAACTTGCTTGCAAATTCCAATTCTAAAGGCAGGCACAAAAACAAACAAACAAACAAAACAAAACAAAACAAACAAACAAAAAACCCCAAACCCAAAATGGCAATATACACAAGAAAGAAAGTATTTTTATTTATTCTTTTGTAGAACGTGCTGTCTACCTATAATTATTAAACCTAGGCTGCCACAGACAAGACCCAAACTTCAACCTCCCGCAGGACACACAGGGAAATGTAGTTAATAGGAAATCATCTGAAAAGGACAAAGGAGTCCTTTCATAAATTGTAATCACATCCTCAACTGTTGAATACTTTCCAATTTTAGCCAAGTAACCTGCATTTTGTGAAGATGGAAGCCATATTCCTCTTTTTATGGCACAAGATGTAACTTTACAGTGTTGTGCTTATGTTTCATCATCAAAGGACCATTACACACACACCCCCACCCCACACACACTCACACTCTTCACATTCCAGTTGTATCACTGAAAATCATCCTAACCAGAGAAACAGATATTTAAATAAAGAGTTAATCCCATTTGGGATATGTCATCAATGTTCAGTTGGCCAATCTAACTTGTAACAGCAGCATCTCTTCAAATACCTGCATTTTTTTTCCTAGTTATTGATTCCAGAGAACTGTATAGCTGAGAGTGGGTGGAACATCTAAAGATATATTAGCATTAGTGAGAATTAAGGTATTGCCTTGTGCCAAAACCATAGTCCACTTAACACATTGTAAAGAGGAATTTGCTTTTCCAGTAGCCATTGGTGACTAGATAAGAATCTAAATGAAACCCGCACTGGTTTTGGAGAATTTGAATTCATCTGCTCATATGAGCTTTTCTAACTGCCCAATGTTCTCCTGGAAGATTAAGGGTAACAATTTGGTGAGATTTAGGGGACATTAACCAAACTTCCATCCTAAGTAGTTTAATAAAAACATTACCGGTCTTGGTCAACATTAGCACTGACAGTCAGCAGTAGCAAAGCCACAAAGAGCCATTGTGGGACATTCAAAGCATGAGTTGGGACTGACCTTCAGGTTGATATTGTGCTATGATTGTCACCGTCTGCCCAGCCCCCTTCAGTGCTGCAGCTGCCTGCTCATGAGAGGCTCCACGGAGATCGATGCCATTCACCTAGAAGACAGACCAAAGTTTTAGGCACAATATCTGTATTCTAATAGATAGAATATGGATAGAAGAAAAAAGTTTTCCAAAATCAATAAGCTATCTAAAATTATGCCATGTTCCTCAAAGAAATCCTTCATTTCTTACTCAGGTGTTTCTTAGTTTGGCAAGTTTCAGAGTCATGATTACTTTTAGAGAGCAGAGACATGAAATTTCATCTTGTATTTGCGGCATAGCCTGGTTAGGTTGGAAATATTTTGTCTATCCTGTCCACAAGGGTTTTAGTGTGTGCATTTCTATTTTCCCATGGGTTTCCCAGATTTCTGGGGCAGATTGGCTTTAAAATTAGAGGGGGAAAATGATAATGAAGAGAGACACATGTAATGCCCACAGACAAGTATGTGCCGACAGATTCATGTATTCAGTCGACGTTCTGGGGAGACTGTATGGAATGGGGCTGGCTAGCTGCCAGATCACTCTCTTTGGGTAAGTGCCTAGTCTTGTCATATGGAGCTTGGTGAGACAGCCCTGAGCCCTGTTCCAAAATAAACTTGACTGCCCCATTTCTCATGCACAATTCCATAATGAATTCTGACAAAATGAAATAAAGAGTGCCTGGAGTTTATTTTGCTGTCGCTAACTCCCATTTTGGAGCCCATACTAGAGGAGAAGCAGAGCATCTATAAAACAAGCCCTGAACTCTGCCAGGAAGAATAAAATCATCAGCAAGTCAAATTCAATGAGAAGCAAAAGCTCAAATCTTTCTCCAATCAATAGAGTCAATAAGTCATCAGGATATAATTGCCGAGGGTTCTGTGTCCCTCTGAGAAGAGGGACAGTGGGTGGGACTAGAAGGAGAGCCAGAAACTTTCCTGATGGAAGTAAAAACACATTGTCTGGTTTTCTAACCAACACAGATGGCATCCTCACTATGTTTCCTTTTGCACACAGAGCAGGATGCTACATCCAAGAGAAGAATTCAAAGTTGATCAGCTCATCTAAACGTTCAATACATTCTCTTGTTTTGGCTTTGGCCAGTCTTCTACAACAGATTCTGAGCAGTTAAATGAAGGCATGGTTACCACTTTGTTTCCCTAGCTGGCTTGGCTCACCCTAATCGTCAACTTTCCATCCTTGTTTCCTCACAGTAACTCTGTCAAAGCTCCCCATTGACTTCTACAGTTTCTTTTGCCTTTCCTCTAGCTTTCTGTTCTGGTGAACTCTCTCCTGTGAGCATTGGCTATGTGTCAGCTTTGGGAAGTTCACCGTGCTAGGCCTGGCATGCTGTGCCAACCATTAGATGAGTGACAGTCATGTTATAGCCCTGAACCTGTTTTCTTTCACTTCACAATGAAGAAATGGTTAGGCTATTAGGGTCTAAAGCCTATGGTGGTAGGCTCACATGCTTGCATACTGGGTCCCAGGCTGGTGGCAGTGCTGGGGAGATCATGGAATTTTAGGAGGTACAGCCTTGCTGGAAGAAGTACATCACTAGAGACATCCATCATTACAGACAGGCTTGGAGGCTTTACAGCTGCACCCTGCCTCCTGCTCTCTGCTTCCTCTGTATCATTGAGATGTGATCCTTCAGCTTCTTGCTTCAGAAATCAGTCATGCCTCCCCTGCCATTATGGACCTTGCCTCTGGAGTCATAAGCCAAAATAAACTTTTTCCCCCTATAAGTCACTTCAGGTTGTGGTATTTTATCACAGGAAGAGGAAAGTAAGTAACAACCTCCCCCCGCCCCGTGTCCCCAAACTGAGAAATTACAAAGCTACTCAAGAGTAAAAAATAGTCATGTTTAAGACTGCCCAGGATAATGTTGATGGGCCAGAAGGATTCTGGTGGCCGGAAGGGTCAGCAAAGACAGATACAGATTTATCTAGACTTTTGTCCACAGCAAGCTCGTCTGCAAAAACATCAGGTGCCAAATAATTTTAAATAGTTTCTTCTCTTGTAAAACAATTAACTATTGTTAGAAATGGACATTACCAACGTAAAATTTCCAAAAACTGTAGAAGGAAAAGTGTAAGTGAACTTTCACTGTTTTGATGTCCATAGATGGTTTCCTCTGTGTCGGTTGCTCTGAAATTCACCCATGTGAAGCATGTGGCTGTGGCTGAATTTCTGTTGTTCTCACTACATAAATAATTTATTACTGCCTTTTAACTAAAGAATTAGGTATCATGTATAAATATACAACTTGTTTGGGTTACCATTTAATAATATATCTTGGGCATCTTTCATACAAGCACATGTCAGTTGAGTTTTGACTAGAAGCCTACATTCCTTGTTGTGATCGCTCTAGACTTTCAACAGTGAGACTCTTGCTGATGTGGTTAAAATCAGTTCCATTTTCTTTGTAATACATTTGTGAGTGTCTTCGTGAAGGATGAATTCCCTGGACATGGTCTTGGTGAGACAAAGGGTATATGACTTTTAAAAATTTGTTATTGTGAAATTAAACATTACTATTTATAATTTAAATGATAAAAAGAGAAACATAAAGGCAATAATCTCATTTATCAATAGCATGTTGATATAAAAATGGAAGTAATGTAGATATATAACACTCATGTATAAAAATTAAATCAGTATAAAAAAAGCACAAAGTAAATATTTTCCTATTGTTATCTCAAGAAGGAACAATCTTGGAGCTGGAAAGATGGCTCAGTGGTTAAGATTTGCTCTTGAAGAGGACCCAGTTCGGTTCCCAGAATCAGATGGTAGACAATCACCTATAACTCCAGCTCCAAGGGAGCCAATGCACACACGCACGCACACACACACACATAAATATAAATAAAAAATAAAAATAAAACTTAAAAATGTAATAATCTTGATGACTTCCTGTGTATACTACTCATTACATTGTCATGAATATAAATCAGCTTATAAAATATAGGATTAAGTATTTAGTATAAGTGAGGGCACGTTGTGTACATTGTTTCATATCTTGATTTTACTCAGCAAGTTTTTCTGAGTTGTTTTGAGAAAGGGTCTTTCTGCATAGTTCCTGGAACTCACTACATAGACCAGACTGGCCTCAAACTCTCAGAAGTCCTCCTGCTTTTTGCCAAGTGCTGGGATTAAATGCATGCACAACCACAGCCAACTCTGGGAAGTGGAAGGCTGAGGCAGAGAGACACTGCCAGCCGCCTCCATGACAAGCGAGATGTAAGGTACCGGTAAGCCATGAGCCACGTGGCAACTTATAGACTAATAGAAATGGGTTGATTTAAGATATAAGAACAGTTAGCAAGAAGCCTGCCACAGCCATACAGTTTATAAGTAATATAAGTCTCTGTGTGTTTACTTGGTTGGGTCTGAGCAGCTGCGGGACTGGCGGGTGAGAGAGATTTGTCCTGACCCTGGGCCAGGCAGGACCAGGAAAATTCCAGCTACAGCAAACCTCAGGGAGTTTTCTTAGTTACATATTACACGTCCACATTGATCTCATTCATCTTAATGCTGTGTATGGTTCTAGTATTCAGCACATAGCATTTTGTGTCACTACTTCACAGTTAATGGACACACTGGTCCTTTAACACTTTGCTATGTAAACAATTCTATAATAAATAACAAGTAATGGAAAGTTGAGCAAAGGTAATTCTGATAGTCATTGTCAAATTACCATTAAAAATGGAGCATTAATTTATATCCCTACAAATAACACAATTTTGTATTTTCGCTACTAATTAATTGCACATGCCTCACCATTTGACTTTTCCCATTTTGGTAAGTGAACAATTATATTTTTAATTAGACTTCTTCAGTTATGAAGGTAAGCATCTTTTATGTTAATTGGCTATTTTTAAACTTATTTTTACATAAAATATCTGTTCTATTATATTTGCTGACTTTTGTTTAGGTAGTTCTTGTTAAAATTTTATCTGCATGTTTCAAAACATCAGTGTTCCCTTTTAAAAACACACTTTACACTATTAAATATATTTTACATTCTTCTGCTGTCCCTTGTCGTAGAGAATTGTAAAATGTTTTGGATCGTCACAGTTGTCTTTCTTCTTCAGAAAGCTTTAGACTTTTCTGTGGCATTTCACTATCTCCAATTCATCTAGTAAATTTCCCATGCTTTCCTATAGTGGGATCACAGCTTTAACTTGGCTATTTGATCTTTAATCAGCTTGAATAAATTGTGGTGTCTGGTATGGAATCAAGTGAGTGGTCACTGGTCCATAAACTCATAAGAATCCGAGTCCCCGGTCTTCAAATCGATGGCATACAGTGGGCTGAGAGGTGAGTGAAGAGGTGAGTACTACATTCTCAGGACATTATCCCAGACAAATGATCATCTAATTGCTGTAGGACATTAGCTTATCATTCAGGAAGGACTTCAAGATACTCAAGGAAATCCATCCCAATTTGGGCCAATTCCTGTGATAAAACTGCGTGCTATGGTTGAGTCTTCCTGGTATTTTCCACTTCTTGGCTCCAGTTCAGCCTTGTGAAGACTCAGAGAACAATATCTCTTCCTCCACATGATTTTCCAAGTATTACAAGTCTCTAGACTCTTTTCCAAGTTAAATGACCCCAGTTCCTCCTCCATATCTCTAGGTTAGTCTTGCCATCTGCCCACTGCTTCTGCTTGTATACTTCCAGTAACAGGGAACTCTCTCTCCAATCTGCCCTTCCTATTTTTGGATATCCTTATGGATCATGGTTTTAGCATCCTTGATGCCATTTAATTTCTCATCAGAGACTCAGCTACACGGCTTGAGTCAAGGAGTCTAACAAGGATGGTTACTCTGGTTCTTATCCTCCTATGTGTGTCTCATGAGATACCTATAATAAAAACTGGATACAGATGACTCTTTAAAAACATCCATTATAGTTATTTCCCTTTCTAGTTTAAGAGGAGAGTAACAGCTATTGTCAAACAATTTTCTGTTTAGTGGAGAACACTGACAGGTAAATGTCCATTGTAAATGCTAAGAGAAGACAAGGTCATAATGTTCTGAGACACAGAAGATATGAGGAAAGATGTGGTA